CGGGGCCCGCGGCGGGGCCAGCCAGCAGGGGGCGGGTGCCTGGGAGCAGCTGGCTGGGGCTTCTGGTGGGGTGCAGCTGGTGGGGGTCAGCTGGCTGCAGTATGTGGCATGGGGTAGCTGCCTCCATGGCCTAGGTGGGTAGAAGAGGAGCTCAGAGCCAACTTTATGAGCAGCGCTCGCTAGTGGAGCTCCGTGGATGTGCCATGTCATACATTTCTTAATCTCAGGGCCCTCAGACTGTTTCTGGTGTTGTTGGTACTCTCACCAGAAGTCTGGTGTCCCACCATAACTTGGCCAGCTACAGAATTTTTCTCCTTGGTTTCTTATCTCCAGGGACTACATGGTATTGCCCATAAGTGGGTTCCATGCTCCATTCAGCACCTTTGTGTTCCTGGATTAAACGTCTGTGAATCTGAGGTGTGGAAGTGGGACACAGTGGCGGGACTTCACTTTTAGCTGCAATCTTTAAGTATGGGATAGGTTTCACCCTGCAGCTATGCTGCTTCTCCAAGAGACTGAAGAGGAGACTTCATGGCGATTATGGACAAGAGATGGCCTTTAGTTAGGACATAAGCTATTAATTGTTATCAAGATTTGTTCCATATTAATTAACGATCCCTTTGGAACCATTCCTGTTTCTACCCTTACATTTCTCTTCCCATCCTCTTTCCTTTTCTGGGCATGTGTATCATGTCCTTTGTCTTCCCTTCTTGAACTTATTCCATCTCATATATTATTCACTAAAGAGTCAGAAGTGAAATGCCAATGTTGATTTTTAAAGCATTTTCTTTCAGTTTTAAGGTCAACATCAGTGCACAGTTAAGAGGGCTTGGGCCTTGCTGATATACCTCAGTCTTCTGACTGACTCCTCCCCTAGGGAGAAATAACCCCATGCACCAGTACAAACTGGGGGCTGACCTGCTGGAAAGCAGCTCCTCAGAGAAGGGAGCTGGGAGTCCTGGTGGACGACAAGTCGACCATGAGCCAGCAATGTGCCCTGGTAGCCAGGAGAGCCAATGGTATGCTGGGCTGCATTAGGCAGAGCGTCGCCAGCCAGGTGGAGGGAGGTGCTCCTCCCCCTCTACTCAGCCCTGGGGAGGCCTCGCCTGGAGTACTGTGTCCAGTTCTGGGCTGCCCAGTACAAGAGAGACATGGCGCTACTGGAGAGAGTCCAGCGGAGGGCTACCAAGATGATTAGAGGACTGGAGCATCTCTCCTATGAGGAAAGGCTGAGAGAGCTGGGCCTGTTCAGGCTGGAGAAGAGAAGACTGAGCGGCGAGCTCATCAGTGTGTACAAGTATCTGAAAGGGGGGTGTCAAGAGGATGAGGCCAGACTCTTCTCAGTGGTGCCCAGCGACAGGACAAGAGGCAACGGGCACAAACTGAAACGCAGGAAGTTCCATCTGAACATGTGGAAAAACTTCTTTCTGTGAGGGTGACAGAGCATTGGAACAGGTTGCCCAGAGAGGTTGTTTGAATATCTCCTTCGCTGGAGATATTCAAAAGCTGTCTGGACATGATCCTGTGCAATGTGCTCTAGATGACCCTGCTTGAGCAGGGAGGTTGGACTAGATGATCTCCAGAGGTCCCTTCCGACCTAAACCATTCTGTGCTTCTGTGCTTTTCTCTTTTGCTTGCTCATCCTGAGAGACAAGGTAGTGTGGCTTAGGTGAGGGTCTGGAAGCTTGTTTTGCTGTAACGGAGCAGGAGGTTTGCAGGACCTCAGTGTGCCCGTGTACATGGATGGGCTACTGGCATGAGTAGATGGGGCAGACAAAGTGTTTTCATCATTTTTTATCCATCATACCTTGAGTTGGATTTCTCAAAGTAGCACTTCCCCTCCTTTGCACCTTCATTGGAGTCTGTTCAGAATAATTCTGTTTAAGACGCAGTGAGGTTTACTTCCACTTGGCCTTCTGCAAAACCAGCTGGAGCACAGGATATTTTTCCCAAGTACTGCTGTATTGTCCCCTGTGATCTAAGATGGTATTGAAGGAGGCTGACATCCCATTTACCCCTCCGTTCACTGGTCTACATGCCCTCTCTTTTGCAGGGAGCAGCTTTTTCTCTTACAAATACTTGCAGTTCTAGTACTTAAAAATACTTGACTAGATGTCAAGTGGGCAGCTGTCTGTGGCCTATTCTGAGGTCTGTTACATCAGTGGAGAGCATCATTAAAATCCTTTGCACAACATCCCTGGCATCCCTTCATGCAATGTGATGTAGTGGAGAAGGGTGGGAGGGAATTTACACCTTCCCACTTGCCCTCCTCTCAATATTCCCCAGCTCTTTGTTCTGGAATCGGGCAGTTGACAGACCATTCTAGCTATGTGGCAGGGCTGTGAAAGGAGATGGGGATACCTGGGCCTTCTCTTTCACTTGCCAGTCCCTCTGCTTGTTTTGGCTACCTTTGTATTTGATCTTCTGCTTTGCTTGCAAGATGTCCCCATTTCCCAGACAGCAGTTGTGTAGATAAAAACATTAGGCCAAGCCAGGCAACTCAGGTGTGAAATACATTTTAATTGAGTTTAGGGTTCTGTAGTTTGTCTGTTGCTCAGCTGAGCATGGGTTGTCCAGAAGGTGACGCAGACGTTATGGGTGGAGGACAGGGTGAAGGAGAGCAAGAGAGAAGGAAACAGAGAGAAAAAGGTCAAGAGAAGCAAATGAGAGCATGTGTTTGTTTACGACTGTGTCTTAATATACTCCCCACGCTACTATGCACTGACCCACGATACCCCACAGAGCCGCTTAACCCAGAGACTGACAGCACACATACACCGAGTGACAGAAAGCAGTGCAGTTCAATACTAAGCTGCTGACAAGCACAGCTCAATACAACACAACACGCAGAGTGGAATGAAGAGACGCTTGGGTCCCACGATGGCTCAGCGCAAACGTGCCTGGGGCAAAATGACACTGTAGGCCAGTACACACACGCCTATACACATGCACGAGAGCCGCTGGCAACACTCGTCCAAACACAGCTACGGATGCAACACTTGTCCAAACACACCAGCCGACACGCTTATGTTCACCGCACATGTTTCGGCGTACAACGTAAACACACCAGGCGGCAGGCCCCCATAGTCTAATATGTGAACAAAGTGACTCAGACATGGTCCCTGCACAAAAACAGAAGACACAAAATGCCTAGATTCAGAAATGCTCATGATCCCAAAGCAAGGGAGAGAGGGTAGGCCTCACTTTCATCCTTCACCTGGATACACCTAGCCAGACAGACCTGAACTCATGGGGATTTGAGGTGAGAGTGGCAGGCGGCAGAGGAGAGAGAAAGAGAGAGCAAAAAGGGGAGCAGTGGAGAGAAGAGGGCTTCAGAGACTGTGACCTGGGAAAGAGCAGCAGAGTGGCAGTGCCCTCGGAACAATGTTCAAAGAACACTTGGATTGCGAAAGTTATGTCCAGCAAAGCGTGCTTCATCACCAAGCTCTTCCTCAATCCTGCAGAAGAGAGAGACAGCAAACATTAGACCCTTGCTGTGAGGGAGCATCAGAGGCGCTAGAGCACCTGAGATGCAGAGCATCAGCCACAAATCTGAAATGGAATAGAGGAGCTCTGCTCCTCCCAGCTGCTATGCATGAGGCTGCTGCACCGTTATGCCAAGGAGTAGGGAAGGGGTCTGCTCCAGAGATGTCCCCAGGATCCTATTCTTGGTCTGAGCCCTGTTTTCATAATATTTTCCCCACAAACCCCTTCTACCCTTGGGCTCTCAACTTCTCCCACCCCCGTTAGTTGCTTCTCCATTCTTTCTTATGTGTTCCCAACCTTGGAGCCCCTTACCTCATGAGCTGGTTGTATTTCGCCAGGCGTTCAGACCTGCAGGGAGCGCCCGTCTTTATCTGTAAAGTATTCCACACAACGAACACTGTAAGACACTGTGATGACTTGCACCAGTTTCCCCATAGGGGATAGGAGGCGGGGGGGGTCTGTCTTCACAACCTTCTTATTGTCCTCCACAAAATGTTATCTATAGCCTGTGTTTCACCTACCTGCCCAGTGCACAGTCCCACAACCAGATCAGCAATGAAGGTGTCTTCAGTCTCCCCTGATCGGTGGCTCACCATCACACCCCAACCATTCTCCTGGGCCAACTTACATCTGCAAGGAGCAAGAAATGCCATCAGTAGCTCCTTCTGTAGCCACCACCTGCACAGGGTGAGATCCAGGCATCCTCTCCTCCCACCCTCAGCATCCTACACTCTTGTGGACACAAAGGTGATTTTGTCCAATGGATCGTGCTAGACCCTGATGTGGTTCCACACCAACCCTTTCCCTCTCTTAGGACAGCAGAGACAGCAGGATGGACTCACGCTTGAATAGCCTCTGTGACAGATCCAATCTGGTTGACTTTGAGCAGGAGGCAGTTGCAGGCCTTCTCTTCCACAGCTCGCTCAATGCGCTTGGGATTTGTCACTGTCAAGTCATCTCCCACTATCTGAATCCCCACATTGGCTGTGAACTTGGACCAAGCCTCCCAGTCATCTTGGTCAAAGGGATCCTCAATGGAGACCACTGAAGGGACAACAGAAGAAGCCTGAGTCAAAGCTGCTTCCTTCCCCACCCCCAAAACACAGACAGGATGTGTCTGTTATGTTTGCAACACCAGTGCTGATTCCCCACTGCCAAGCACAGCAGCTCACCTGGATAATCACGTACAAAGCTTTGGTAGAGGTCACCCAGCTCATCTGCAGAAATGTAGCGGCTTGGGTCATCTGGGGACTTGAAGTCCAAGTCATATTTGCCATCACGGTAGAACTCAGAGGCTGCCACATCCATGCCGATGACGATCTTGTCTGTGTAGCCAGCCTTGTCAATAGCTTCCTTGAGGAGTTCCAGAGCTGGGAGGAGGAGAGTTGCGTCAGGAGAGTCAGTCCATGCAAAGAACTCTGACTTTCACTGGGGACTCAGCCAGTATCACAGATGCTCCACTGGGAGGATCCTGAGAGCAGGAGCAGCTGAGAGAGGCTGACAGCGGGATGGGAGAGGAAGAAGGGAGGCCAGAGAGCAATAGAAACATGCCAGAGGGCTGTGGAGGCCACATCCAAAGGAATGAGAAGAAATCAAAAAACAGTCCCATAGCTCAGTGACAACTTGGAGGAAGGTCTTGGGAATGTCTGGACATGCATGAAAGATTTGTACGAACAAGCTGTGAACAGGACAAGGTCCCTGAGGGTAAGGAGCTTAGAAACCGTCCCCTAACACAGGAGGTCACTGACCCTGAGGCATGATGTTTTGAACCAAAGTTGGGGGAATGCTGTGACCTGGGAGTATACAGGCCTCAGTCGCAGCTTTGCAGGCAGGGTTACCCCATCTCTGCATGGCTCTCACCTTCACTATTTTCCAGGATGTTGGGGGCAAAGCCTCCCTCATCACCCACATTGGTGGCATCTTTGCCATACTTCTCCTTGATGACACTCTTTAGGTTATGATAGACTTCAGCCCCAATTCGCATGGCATCGCGGAAGCTTTCAGCTCCCACAGGCAGGATCATGAACTCCTGCATGGCCAGTTTGTTCCCTGCATGGGAACCTCCGTTGATCACATTGAAAGCCTGGAAGAGTCCAAAAGAGAATCAGAGCTGAAGGTACCCATCTTGGCACCAGCTTGAGGAGGATCTTGGATGGGTCACTGTGTCCATTTGTAATACACCACATCCTCAGGGTAACATAATACATCAGTTACAGTGCATCAGAGCAAAGGCCCAAATAGCCTGGGGTCCTCCCTCTAACACAAAGCAAATCGTTGGAGAGGACTTTCCCAGCTATTTAGCTCTCAGAGATCTCCCAAGGCAGATATGTTTATCTGTACGTTCAGTAATGCTAGGTCGATCTCTCTTCCAGGACCTTCTCTGTTTTCCCCTTGACCCCATGAAAATTTTAGCATCCACAACACCCTTTGGCAAGGAGTTCCATGGGGCAAGCTATCCCTAGCATGAAGAGCCACCTTCTCTTCTTTTGAACTGTGCCTCTACTGGGTTCACATGATCACCTCTAGTCTTGTGCTGCGAGCAAACTGTTGATCCCCAACCAACCCCCACCACAACTTCTGCCATATCCTCCTCAGTCCCCTCTTGTCCAGATTGAAACATCCTACTTTACATAGCTCTTTCTTCTACAAAAGCTGCTCTATGCCTTTGATCAGTCTCCTTACCCTTTTCTGTGTCTTTTGCAGTTCCCTTCTACCCTTGTTTGCTTTCTTGACCACTACAGTGCATTCAGCTGATGTTTCAGTCCTATATCCCTTCCTTCTCTCCCTCCCAATACACGCTTTGAAGTTTCTTTTGAAGTTTGTGAATTTGGATGTCAGGGATGGAGGAGCCTTACTGGCACAGGAAGGATGAGATCAGAGTTGCCGGCCAGGTCAGCAATGTGCCGATAGAGGGGAACGTCCTTCTCTGCAGCTCCTGCCTTGCACACAGCCAGTGAAACTCCCAGGATAGCATTGGCACCAAACTTGGCTGTAGGCAAAACCAAAAAGGAATCAAGCCTCTCAAACACCTCCCTTTTGCCCGGCAGTCCTCCTTGCCAGCCCAGACTTGGACTTGCATATCGGTCTGCCAGCCCTGCTAGTGCCCTCCACTCCAGCTCTGCAGCCTCCCTCCACCCTCCTGTAGTATTTACTTCCCAGGCCAAAAAAGAATGAATTACATTTGTTCTCTGTGCCGTCCATCTCGAGCATCAGATTGTCTATCTTCTCTTGATCTACCACAGAGAGGCCCTGCAAAAAGAAACAGCTCCTAAGAAGGAGAAGTTGAAAAGAATTGCTGGCTCTGGTATGTGAGAAAAGAAGCATTGATGGAGAAGCTGGGGGGACTAGGACTTCTTCAGTTTGTGGAGGAATATACACACACAAAGCTTTGGAATTCAGTCCCTTGGTATATAGTCAAATTTTGTAGCCATGGCAATGTGACTGCAGTGCATTGTAGATGTAGCTGAGCTGGATTAGGGATCTGTGACAGCCCCAGCAAGGCCACACAGAGCTCAGGAAATGACTCACTCAAGAATTTGCCCAGCCTTTTGGCAGCTTCCAGGGAGCTTTGTGGTGGTATGGCTACAGAGACACTAGGCAAAACAGAAGATGCTCACCCTGCAAGTGTGCCAATATGAACTGGATGGAGCAATCCGTGGGAGCAAGGTGGAAAGCAGGATTAAGCCCAGCACAGGGAGCCTCCACCAGGCCATGTATTTTCAAGGCGGGAGCAAGCTGGTCTCTCAGCCTGACTCCTCAGGGTGGTACACACTGCAGTGGGTGTGGTGTGTGGCTCCAGTTCAGCTCTCTTCAGAGCAACTGGAATCACTATGTTCCAGCTCTTCAGCAGTAAATTGGCTACAGATGTGACACCACCACTATGCAAGGCCACAAACTGTGCTGTGGGGGCTTCCAGACCTTGCACAGACATGGTCATTGCTCTACCACATCATGAATGCTGTAGGGAGAGGGGATGAGAAGAATGGGTGTGAGTCTAGAAACATGCAAATGAGATTTATGTAGTGCATAAGGAGGAGCACATCTGAAGTAGGGATACAGCTCTACAGTGAGCATCAAGGTGACTGGTTAGATGGTAGAGATGCTGCAATGGAGCCAGGAGGGTTAATTTTTTTCAACCCTGCGGACACATACACGCATGGAGGGGCAGAAGGGGTGAGCCCAGGATGACAGAGAGCATCACTATGTCTATTAGCTCAGTAAAAAGAAGAGAGGCAGAAACAGAGATAAGGGGGAAGGAGAGAGAGCAGAGTAAATGTCCAACAAGGGAGAATAAAGAGAAATCCTTACAGAGCCCACGAGAGCTGGGGCGACAGTGCTGTTGATATGATCCACGGCCTGCAGGACCCCTAAAGAAGGGAAGAGACAGAGAGAGAGAGAGAGAGAGAGAGAGAGAGTGAGGCAAAGAAGAGAATGGAGAAAGGGAGATAGAGGAGCAATAGAGAGAGACTGAGGAGACAGCAAGAGAAAATCAAGGCCTGATCTCTTTATGCTAACTCTGTGCCTTTGGGATCTCACTGAGGTCAGCAGAAAAACATCCATGTTACATTAGTGGATGAGTGAGACCCTCCAGTGGATCCCCATGCACACGCAGACCCAAGGATGGGAGTGTGGGAGCAGGCACCTCCCCACCTTTTCCAAGGAACCGTGACTTGTCATTATCTCGTAGCTCCAGTGCTTCGTAGATCCCAGTGGATGCACCGCTGGGGACAGCTGCTCGAAACAGGCCTGAGAGACAGCAAAATACAGGTGTGAGAAGAATGGAGGATAAAGAGGAAGGAAAGCCCTCATGCATCTGCTTTTATTTTACTCTCATGGGAAAGAATATGGTAAACAACTGTGCAAACACATGGCCCCAGTGGCTGGCTGCTTGTAGATGGGTCCTCTTAGAGGTGGAAAACCCAAGTGACGGAAACAAATCAACGCATGGTCAAAAGCTTTGAGGCAGAGAGCTCAAGAAGCCTGAATCTCAGCCACAAAGAAACCCACATCAGTCCCAGAATTACAAATTGCATGTGGATGTCTGGCTGCTGAGCTCTTGTCCTGGCACCCCTGTCTGCACCCTGCTGCAAGCAGGCTGAATCACAGCTGCCAAAGATTTCCTCCCCTTCTGATTGGGGCTGGCTTTTTTGCCTCAATGAAGAAAGAAGAGAACAAACCACTCAAATCCCTGCTCTGGCCACTCACAACTCCTCACACCTTTTAACCCATGTGTGCAGGCACTTGCAGCTCTTCCAGATGCACATACATGCCTGCACAGAGATCTCAGGGACAAGCCTTCCCACAACATCATGATGTACTTCCAGACTCACAGTGTATCCCAGGACTAAAGGCACAGCTGCAGGAGGGCATTGCGTGCATAGGATAAGGAGATGCATGTACTTATGTTAATGAAACTTTCAGGCCCCGCTACTACCATACACACAGCAGTCAGCTGTTTCATTATGGTTTCCTGTCAACGCCTATTGCAGAGCTCATGATGAGACAGAACACACTTCTGAGATTCACTACAGAAATCATATGTGGCCAGACATGAACACCAGCATCTTCCACTCTAGGTAGAGGGGAAGAGACCTTTGAAATGGAAACAAGTAGTGCAGCGGGCACCTCCTCACTGGGGGCTGCAGTGGCAGAGGATGATTTACCAGCCCTATGTGCAAATTTGCTGAACACGTGCACAGTCAGAGACACAGACAGAGCCACAGGCAGAGATAGGAAGAGCTGCCACTTTCCCTGGCATGCTCTTTGCCAGGAGTTCACTGGAGAGATTTTACTAAAAGTTTATACTCTGTGCTCCAGGCAGGCTGCTATATGGCTGCCAGGCTGCTATATAGACCCACCTCCTCCAGCATAGGTAGGAGTCCCTTCCCACAATTCTCATCCTCTCTCACCTACCTTTGTGTGTGTACAGGTCCACCTCAACAGTGGGATTCCCACGAGAATCCAGGATCTCTCGGGCATGGATCTTCTCAATCGACATGGTGAATCTTTGGAGAGAAGAGAAGAGAAGAGAAGAGGAGAGGAGAGGAGAGGAGAGGAGAGGAG